ACATATTCAAGAAGCACAACATTAAGTAAAAAATTTCAGGGTATGTTCTACAATGTGATACACACACACAGAACTGAGAGACCAATATATGCCATAAAGTTTGAAAAAAGTAATCAAGGAAATCATAAAAATTAAACTCATTGTAGTAGTTACTTCTTATGGGAATCAAGGGTTAGAATAGCGAAGTCACAGTATTTGTAGTACCCAGCTTCTAAATATATGTTATTTTGTTTTTATCAGAAACTACATAATAAAGCATTTTTAAGGAAAAACTACACTGGAATAATTTGTGTTTGTAAGAAGGATAGGAAATTCAAATTTTTAATATTAACTTGCATATAAATGAAAGTTATGAAAAAAATAATGCAGTCTCTCGCAAAACTTTATTTTCCAATCAATTATTTTAGAAATGGAAAGGTCTTTTTTTTTCTTTCTGTTTTTAAGTATACAATCAATCTCACTTGTGGAAAGAATGTAAAAACCAGCCATAAATATAATTATACATTTATAGCAATGAATTTTTTTTCCACAAACAATATTAACAAAGTGGTAAAAGAGACTTAATAGCTACTTTAGTTTCAGCAATTCAGTTTATTTTTGGGAAACATTTAGATTTAATTTTAGACAAATGAATACAAAACATAATTGGGCATGAATAACATTATTCATATTGTAAAGTTAAGCAAAAAATGTTTGAAAACTTGGTGTGTAACTACATCTGAATTAGTTAAATTTTCTTGTGCAGTACTAGAAATGTGACTGGCGTATATTGTACAGCAATAATGTTGATTCACTTGTTTAAAAGGTAAAATGTTGATATGTCACCATTAATTAGTTGCATATTATTTTTATCATCAACTTAATAAGTCTGAGATAACATAAATTATTTGATTTTTGAGGTGAATTAACTCTGAAGTAGCTTTTAGGTTGAATTTGATCATATTAGAAAAGATCATTAATTTAATCATCTAATAAAGGAAACTAAAGATGCTAGCAACATAAAATGAAGCACATTCTTTTAGTGTTTTAAAATTTCTGTGTTTAAGAAAATTAGTTTTTTCTGCCATAAATTATATTTTATAATTTGCTAACTCATTAATTGTAACATTATTTTTTGACAAATTGAAATATTTCTTCAAATGGGAATGACACACTTATTAGGAAATTCCAGTTTTCTGAAATTACTTAAAATTTTCAATTTGGGAAAATATAATCAAGAAAAATAGATTATGCTTTTATTTATTAATAATTATATACAATATAATAACAAGATGCTTTAGTTATGGTTTATTACAGTCATTAAAAGAATCCTTACTAGATATTCATTTCAGAGTTTTCTTTTCCTACCTAAGATATACTAAACATGTAAATTCAGAAAAAGACTATTAACTTTTGTATCTATGAAATCTGTATTTAATTTTATCTTATGCTTAAATTTCAGACTAATTTTCAAGATGCTTAATTCTGAAATCTAAAATATCTATTATGCTTTAATATTGAACTAACTACCTTATTTGCTTAGCATATTTATAAAGGAAGAAAAAATGCAGAACCAAAAAAAATAGAGCAGAATATTAAAAGCTAGAAAGCTTTTGAAAAACCACAAAATATAGAAAGTTGTTTAAAAACATGGAAATCCTAACTAGTTTTCTAGCAGACTTGGTTGAAAGTTCATTATAAAGCAATAAACTTCTAGAAAAGATTAAATTTTATCATTATGGCAATGTCAAAGTTAAATTTATCATCTTGGACCAAAATTATATCTCAAAGATTATAATGATCTCAAAACCTGGTGCATTCAGGTAATTTTGATGAAGTTCTAATGGCAAAAATGCTCCCTTATTCAAGAAAAAAATACAACAAAAATGGCAAAATTAAACCTCCACACTGAATAATCTTGAGAAATGTTCCTACGACATTATTTCATTGAAATACTCATTTGAGCTTTATTTTAATGTTGACTCCCAGACAATAGCAACAGAAGAACTATGTGCACCTATAAAATCTTTTTCCCTAATATATCAACATCCACTGGGATAAACATCTTGCCAGGACCACCCACCTGTCAAGAGCCTTGCAACTCATCTAGTTGAAAAACCTTCCCTCAGCATTGTTTGCCTTTTAAGAATGTATTTTGTCATCCCTTGGTTTTATTTCATGTTTTGCCTTTGGGCAAGTTTCTGGAAAATAATATTTTAGGATGTATTTTTGCTTTTTTAGAGAAAAAGTTTTCAAAAAATTTAAAATGTTAATATCAGGAATAGATTGTGGTGTTAATTTAAAATTTAAGAATGTGGGATTTCTCTTGCTTTTAACCTTTAAGATAATAAGTACTAGATATAATACGATCTTACATATCCTCCCTTCAAAGTCTTCCTCCAAACTCCATAAGAGGCACATTATTTATCATACATTTACCATATCTACAAAAATAAAGATACAGAATGAAAATCTAGAGAATATGTAGAAATCAGAAAGCAAGAGGCAGGTAGCAAGATGGCTGTCTAGATTCAGCGAATATGAGCCTCTTCCATGGAAAGAAACCAAAATATCAAGTAGATATTCAGACTTTGAATAGATGGTCTAAGAGATTACATTGGAATTCAACAGGGAAGTGATAGGAAGCACCAAAAGCAAAGAAGGAAAAAAGAGTGTAGCAGTCTGTCTGTCTGTGATTGGCTGGGAGCCAGGAGAGGCTCTCAAACAAGGGGAAAGAGTAAGGGTGTATTTCCCAGGGCTCCACATTCCAGCCACAGATTAACAATCCTAGATATGGGAGAGTTCCTCAACCCTTGCAGGCCTCAGGACTAATATGGAGAGATGCCTGAAGATTATGCAAAGGCATTGCTCCACATAAGGAGCTCATATTGAGTCCCACAGCCTTCTGAGCCCTGAGCAGCTGCAGTGTGGCATCATTCTGAGAGCTGAGCCCCAAAAGGACTGTGTCCTGCCCTAGAGTCAATGCTGCCACTACCACCACAAGATCAAGGAGAGAGAAAAAAGGCCTGACAGTTTCATGTGGCCTGAAGACAAATTTCACTGTTGCTGCTGCAGGTTGCTTCAGGAACAAGGTGCAAGAAAAATGCATGCCCCACAGTTGCCTGCCTATGCCACTCCTATTGAGAGCAGCCCCACCCTCCTTAGTGGTGGGCCCACAGCTGGCATCAGTCTGAGAGCACAGTTGCAAAGAACTGTGTTCTGCCATGGGGCTAACACCACCATGACCACTAAGGAGGGAGAAAGAAAACAGGGTATTTTCAGATACTCAAAATCAAAGTCAAAGTACCCTATCTAAACCAACAACATATAAGCAACTTTAGGAAAAAGTCCTCTCCTATGAAAACAAATCCATAAAATTGGAGAAGACAATTGTTACACCAGATGCACAGATAGCTTCATAAATATACAGAAAACAAAAGAAGAAAATATGATACCTATAAAGGAATACAGTAATAATCCAGCAATAAATCCCAATCAAAAAGAAAACCACAAAATCCCAGCTAAAAATTTCAAAATACTGATTTTAAAGAAGTTCAGTGAGATACAAGAGAATTCTGAAAAGCAATACAGTTAAGTCAGAAAACAATTTAGGACATGAATCAGAAATTTACCAAAGAGATAGCAATTTTAAAATAGAAACAAATTTAAATTCTGAAACTGAAAAAGTCATTGATAAAATACAAAATACATTGGAAATAGGCTTAAAGTAAGTAAAAGAAAGAATCTCAGAACCTGAAAACAGTTCTTTGGAAATAATCCAGTAGGTCAAAAATAAAGAAAAATGACTTAAAAATAAGCATTTTTCTGTAATAGGATGACATAAAGTGACAGAATATTCAAATGATCAGTGTTCCCAAGATCAAAGAAGATTGGAAAGGGTTAGAAACCTATTTAATAAAATAATAGATGAAAACACCTCAAGTCTAGCAAGACACTAGGATATCCAGTCATGGGAGACTAAAAGATCTCCAAAAAGATAAAATTCAAAAAGGTCTTATCTGTGGTATATTATAGTCAAAGTGTCTAAAGTCAAAGACAGAGAGTATTCTAAAAACAGCAAGAGAAAAGAGTATAAGAGTGCAGTATAAGCACTCGATTCGACCTTCTCTGTCCAGTGCTGTAGCCGCTATGTGGGGCTTTGGGAAATTGAAATGTGATTTGCACAAGATAAAATGTGCTGTAAGTATAAAATACACATGAGACTTCAAAATCTCAATGCAAAAAAAGAATGTAGAGGATCAATGCATTTCTATATTGAATATATATTGAAATAATATTTGTATAAAGTAAGTTAAATAAAATAAAATTACTAAAATTATTTTCACCTGTTTGTTTTTGCTTTTTAATGTGTCAGCTGGAAAATTAAAATGACATATATGTCACACTTTGGATTGGATGGCATTTATTTATCTTTTTTTGTATAAATATGGAAATAAAAAAAGATACATTGTTTTTCCTTGAATTTTAGGAACTTGTAAGAAAATTTACAGTTATATCTTATATACATAGAATTTCTATCTGTACCTGGATCCTGATATTCTAAAGAATCTATTCTGCGAGCTGTGGTTTATAATACAGGAGATACATTCATTCCTAACTATGCTGTTTTTCTTAGATATACAATTATATTTAGGTTAATGAACATCAGAAAACATCAGCAAAAGCGTCACTGTTCAACCACATGTGGTCTTTAGTAAATTTCTAGTGATTGACAGTTTAAGACAGATAAAGATTTATTTATTTAAATGCAAGTCACTTTTATTTTCAGACTTGAAAATATAATAGTGGATTTCTGTTACAAGCTGTAATTTCAAATGACATAGTTTTTTTTTGTTGTTTAATTTCAATACAAGTAAAGATAAAAGCTAACAAATTACTGTCAGAGGATTTAGTGTAGAATAAACTAACTCTGGACACATCAAAAATATAAATATTTTATGAATTTCATCTTAAAATTGATACTATGTATCAAAAAACTCATTAATACAAACTGTACTTACTTGATACTCTTGCAGGTTTTTCTGCTAAAAAGAGAAGATAAAAAGTTCTGTTTAACTGAGATAAAATGCAAGGAAATTATACATTGGTGGACTTTTAAAAAATATTGAATTATTTTGTTTCTTGTTTATTATTTAAGAGTCAATGAAGAAATATAATCCTCTATTGCCTGTCAACATGAGTCTTTGTTTAATTTTTAATTGTTTTAAAATTTTTATTTAGAAATGGGGTCTCAGTTGCCCAGGCTGACATGAAGTAGTACAATCATAGCTCACTGCAGCCTCAAATTCCCTGTGCTCAAGCAATCCTCCCTCCCCTTTCTCCCAAGTAGCTGGGATTACAGGTGTGAACCACTATGCCTGGCTGATCTTTGAATATCTTGGTTAATCTATTTTATCTAAGAAAATATGTCACTTATCAAGAAAAGCTATTCATCAAAGGGTCACAAAATATATATGCTTTTTAAATACTCTTACTAAATCAGAATCTTTGTTAAATTAAGTGTTTGGGCTCAACTATTATTATACTTAACTTGAATAAAATTACTTTGTATTATGTAACAGCTAAATATTTTATTTTAAATTCCCAAATTTTATAAAATATATTTAGAATTAATTTTCTTTAACAGATAAATAATTACCAGACTAGAAAATAAATCTTAAAAAGCAACATGCAAAATAAGTTTACTTTTAATAATAATTTATTTATTTCCATGAGATGTTATTCTCCTTCAACGAACTATGCTTTTCTATTAAACTGTATGGACAAAATAACTAAGGTGAAATTATTGTCTCAAATACTAGAGCAGACATTCTAACTTCTTGAACAAGACTAGTAACATCTCCATTCTAACATTAGTCTCATTTAAAGAGCCAGGCTAGAAAATATAATTTTTAAGCAACCTGCTTTACATGATTTATTTTGAGATTTGTAGAGTTTCTAACATAAACCTAAGGATTAAAAATTTATAAAAATTAGGTTATTTCTAATTTTCTAAAAAACACTTTCAGCTGGGACACATATGTTTAGTATTATTACAGTAGTATGTTTCATGCATAAAATTATGAAGTAAACAGTTTAGAAAACTATTTCACTAAGACTAACATGTTATTTTTTTTTCTTTAAAAATATTACCTTTGATTAGGAAGACAGGAATTTAGGGAAAAAATAAACTTTCACCGAATACAATAAACTATCTGTTAAACGAAGGAATGAATAAGAATATGCCTGCTCTCAACTATCTCTGGGTTCGACTTTGCGCTTCTTTTTTTTTCCCCCCGGCGATCTCCGCTCACCGCAACCTCCGCCTCCTGGGTTCAGGCAATTCTCCTGCCTCAACCTCCTGAGTAGCTGGGATTACAGGCACGCGCCACCATGCCCAGCTAATGTTTTGTATTTTTAGTAGAGACGGGGTTTCACCATGTTGACCAGGATGGTCTCGATCTCCTGACCTCGTGATCCACCCGCCTCGGCCTCCCAAAGTGCTGGGATTACAGGCTTGAGCCACCGCGCCCGGCAGGACTTTGTGCTTTCATATGTAATCATTTTTCTTCACTGTGTTTTTACAATATGAAGACATTAAAATGATAGATTCACATAACAAAGAAGTCTAAATCCAAATTCTGAATCCCTGTGTTACAGATGAGTTACAGAGGTTTCCTCCAATCAGATCTCTAATAGATCATCCCCTTGGAGGCAAAGCGGAATGTGCTCTATCCTTGGACTGCTCTGATTGGCAGAAAATTTTCCCTTTTATTTACAGCAGCATAATAGAATAATGAAGTGTGAATCGATGGCCTTAACCATTATAGTGTTTGGAAACATTCAAACTTGGAGCCAAATCTTGTCTGTACCATATAAACACTCTTGAGATGTTAGATTTACTTTCATTGTACTTATCTGGTCTTTAAACTGGGCATGATAACTGGGCTTTAGTAATGATTAAGTAAACTAATAATGGAAGAAGATACAGCCATGTACTTTCTAATTAAGTATTTTTTTCATCCTTCTGGCTGATTATCTCAAAGGATATTAAACAATATTTTAAAAAGAATCTTTCAATATAAAAATTGTGCCGCTATATTATTATACAAATGTAATTTGCCCTTCTATTGAAAGTTTTATCTCTTAATATTAGTGATACCTATAAATACATTATTAATAATTTTATGTGAAATGGTATGTCTAGATATGTCTAGTCATTTCAGGAATACACACCACAGTGAGCAGTGAAAAGGGAGTCAGTGAAAAACAAAGCTTTTCCTTCCCCTACTAGAGATCTATGGATTTGCTATGAATGAAAATAGTTGGCTTAGTTATGATATGTTTACCTAGCACCTTAGAATTTAAAGCACTTTTTTAAGTAATTGAATTTGCATAAGGCTACATAATTTAGTCATAAGCTTAATTTATAGTTTTATGATAATAATATCAGCAAATAGATCATTCATCATCCTCTTTTTAAGAAAAAAAAATCTGCATTGTGCATGCTGGCATTTGCCTATTTTGTGTCCAGGTAGAATTAATTTAAAGGTTGAATTTATAAATAATAAAAAGTATATTCATGATATTAACTACATGTTATTTAGTCATAGATAAAATAAATCCCAGTTACATTTATTTTCACTACCATATTATTTTTGACATTACTTATGCTAAAAGTCTTTTGTAATTGTAAACGTTTTCTTCTGATGTGTGACAGAATATTTTGGTCACCTTATATGCTGCTAACAGTTCTGATTTCTTTGCATTTTCTTATTTTCTATTGAAATATAAGCTTTCTGCTAGATTTTCTACCTGTCCACTTCCTCTGCTACTAGAAGTGTGTATCTTCTAGATTTCTTTGTTTCAAAATAATTTAATATTAATATTAAGCAACAACATAATTCAGGTATTTCCATACCAACATAGTACTTATGTAATTCAAGATTACCTTTTGTCACATTGTGTAATTGAAGACTTTCTTTTCTTGTTGAGACTGTAAATAAGGAAAATGTAAATTAAAATATAAATTTAAATAATAAATTTTCATAAAAACTTTGTCTCAATTCAATGCTAAGCTTTAAAGACATGAGGATAATTTAAGTGTTATAAATATTTTCTCAAGGTGATTTTCAAAAATTTTGTCTTCTATCCAACTGGCACTTAACAAAAATCAGTGTTAGCACTAAACATTTTTTTATAAACAGAGGTATAACATGAATGTAGGAAGAAAATTAATTGGGTCATTCTGATTAGCTGGATTTGGAGATAAACAAAAAAAGTTATTTTGTCATTGACAATTATTCTTACATGTCTAAGAATGTTCTCCTTATGATCCAATAGATTATTTCTTTGACAATGAAGACCTTTGTAAGCTTTTCGGATAGTTATACTCAAATCAGTAATTGTCATATTATATGGTGTAGTTTGCTAAATAAATAAACCCAATGTTAAGAAAAAAGGCATCATTGTGATTCAGTTTCTACCTTCCTCATCAACAGCACAATAAATCAATGCTTATTTGCATGCATTGGCCTGCCATCCATTGCTGCTGTGACAAAGCCGTTACTTCATATCCACCAATTAACTACCATATTTCTTCTTTTAATCAGACTTGCACTCATCACATACATTAAAAAAAAAGGGTTTTTTTTTTTTCAAATGATATAAATACATTTTGATTAAAGTATTTTAGCTTCAGGGCTTCGCATTCTATTTTTCATTCTTTTAAAAAATTACCTTTTTCTTCTTTATGGTGCTTCATGTCGGCTTTTTCTGTATAGAAGAAACAGTAACAGGGTAATATATTTATTTATTTATCTTTTTAATTATACTTCAAGTTCTGGTATACATGTGCAGAACATGCAGGTTTGTTACATAGGTGTTACATGTTTTATGGTGATTTGCTGCACCCATCAATCCAACATCTACATTAGGTATTTCTCCTAATGCTATCCCTCCTTTAGCCCCACATCCCCCAAGAGATCCCAGTGTGTGATGTTCCCCTCCCTGTGTCCATATGTTCTCATTGCTCATCTCCCATTTATGAGTGAGAATATGCAGTGTTTGGTTTTCTGTTCCTGTTTTAGTTTGCTGAGAATGATGGTTTCCAGCTCCATTCATGTCCCTGCAAAGACATGAACTCATTCTTTTTTATGGCTGCATAGTATTCCACGGTGTATATGTGTCACATTTTCTTTATCCAGTCTATCATTGATGGGCATTTGGATGGTTCCAAGTCTTTGCTATTATAAATAGTGCTTAAATATACATACTTGGGCATGCGCCTTTATAGCAGAATCATTTATAATCTTTTGGGTATACACCCAGTAATGGGATTGTTGGATCAAATGATATTCCTGGTTCTAGATCCTTGAGGAATCTTCACTTTGTCTTCAAAAATGGTTAAACTAATTTATACTCCTACCTTCTGTGTAAAAGTGTTCCTATTTCTTCACAGCCTCTCCAGCATCTGTTGTTTCATGACCTTTTAATGATGGCTATTCTAATTGTCATGAGATGGTATCTCATTGTGGTTTTGATTTGCATTTCTCTAATGACCAGTGATGATCAGTTCTTTTTCATATGTTTGTTGGCTGCATAAATGTCTTCTTTTGAGATGTGTCTGTTCATATTCGTCCACTTTTTGATGGGTTGTTTTTTTTCTTATAAATTTGTTTAAGTTCTTTGTAGATTCTGGATACTAGTCCTTTGTCAGATGGATAGATTGCAAACATTTTCTCCCATTCTGTAGGTTGCCTGGTCACTCTGATGATAGTTTCTTTTGCTCTGCAGAAGCTCTTTAGTTTAATTAGATCTCCATTTGTCAATTTTGGCTTTTGTTGCAATTGCTTTTGGTGTTTTAGTCATGAAGTCTTTGTCATGCCTATGTCCTAAGTGGTATTGCCTAGGTTTTCTCTTAGGGTTTTTATGATTTTAGGGCTTACATTTAAGTCTTTGATCTATCTTGAGTTAGTTTTTGCATAAGGTGTAAGGAAGGGGTACAGTTTCAGTTTTCTACATATGGATAGACAATTTTCCCAAAACCATTTATTAAATAGGGAATCCTTTCCCCATTGTTTTTGTCAGGTTTCTTAAAGATCAGATGGTTGTAGATGTGTGGTGTTATTTCTGAGGCCTCTGTTCTGTTCTATTGGCCTGTGTATCTTCTTTGGTACCAATACCATGCTGTTTTGGTTACTGTAGCCTTGTAGTATAGTTTCACATCAGGTAGCATGATGCCTCCAGCTTTGTTCCTTTTGCTTAGGATTGTCTTGGATATACAGGCTCTTTTTTGGTTCCATATGAAATTGAAAGTGATTTTTCTAATTCTGTGAAGAAAGTCAATGGTAGCTTAATGAGAATAGCATTAAATCTATAAATTACTTTGGGCAATATGGCCATCTTCATGATATTGATTCTTCCTATCCATGAGCATGGAATGGTTTTCCATCTGTTTGTGTCCTCTCTTATTTCCTTGAGCAGTGGTTTATAGTTCTCTTTGAAGAGGTCCTTCACATTCCTTGTAAGTTATATTCCTAGGTATTTTATACTCTTCATAGCAATTGTAAGTGCAAGTTCACTCATGATTTGGCTCTATTATTGGTGTATAGGAATGCTTGTGGATTTTGCACGTTGATTTTGTATCATGAGACTTTTATGTAGTTGCTTATCAGCTCAAGAAATTTTTGGGCTATAATGATGGGATTTTCTAAATATATAATCATGTCATCTGTAAACAGCGACAATTTGACATCCTCTCTTCCTATTTGAATACTAGTTCTTTCTTTCTCTTTCTGATTCCCTGGCCAAAACTTCCAAAACTATCTTGAATAGGAGTGGTGAGAGAGGGCATTTTTGTCTTGTGCCAGTTTTCAAGGGGAATGTTGCCAACTTTTGCCTATTAAGTATGCTATTGGCTCTGGGTTTGTCATAATTAGCTCTTATTATTTTGAGATACATTCCATCAATACCAGCTTTATTGAGAATTTTTAGCATGAATGGGTGTTGAATTTTATCAAAGGCCTTTTCTGCATCTATTGAGATAATCATGTGGTTTTTGTCATTGTTTTCATTTATGTGATGGATTATGTTTATTGATTTGCATATGTTTAACCAGCTTTTCATCCCAGGGGTGAAGCTGACCTGATCGTGGTGCATAAATTTTCTGATGTGCTGCTGGATTCAGTTTGTCAGTATTTAATTGAGGATTTTTGTATCTATGTTCGTCAGGGATATTGACCTGAAATTATCTTTTTTTTTTATGTATCTGCCAGGTTTTGGTATCAGGATGATGTCGGCCTCATAAAATGAGTTAGGGAGTCCTCTTTTCCTATTGTTTGGAATAGTTTCAAAAGGAATGGTACCAGCTACTCTTTGTACCTCTAGTAGAATTCTGCTGTGAATCCATCTGGTCCTGGGTTTATTTTATTTTATTTTATTTTTGGTTGTTAGGCTCTTAATTACTGCCTCAATTTCAGAACTTGTTATTGGTCTATTCAGGGATTCAACTTCTTCCTGGTTTAGTCTTGGGAGGGTGTATGTGCCCAGGAATTTATTCATTTCTTCTAGATTTTCTAATTTATTTGCATAGAGATGTTTATATTATTCTATGATGGTAGTTTCTGTGAGATCAGTAGTGATATCCCCTTTATTATTTTTTATTGTGTCTACTTGAGTCCTCTCTCTTTTCTTCTTTGTTACTCTGGCTAGTGTTCTATATACTTTGTTAATCATTTTAATAAACCAGCTCCTGGATTCACTGATTTTCTTGAAGGGATTTTTTGTGTCTGTATCTCCTTCAGTTCTGCTCTGATCTTAGTTACTTCTTGACTTCTGCTAGCTTTTGAATTTGTTTGTTCTTGCTTCTTCTCTAGTTCTTCTAATTATTGATTTTGGATCTTTTCCACTTTCTTCATAACAAGGTAATATATTTATTAATAAGTCTTCTTAAGGTGAGGAATTAAATTTTGTGCAGGCAATATTCACAGTTCAGGAGTGATTATGAAAAGAAGTCTATAGCTTTAATTTATTAGTAACAGGTAGAGTCTGCTTTTGATTTTACATTCCTATTCCTTTTAGGTGTTTAATAAAAATGAAATACCTATACGTTTTGCATGATGAATTGTAATGTACTGCAATTATAATACGTGCTATAAAATCCGTGTCTTCATTTTCATCAACTGCTTTTAAGTCATATAATTTGTATAATTGTATATTTTTCTCCCTTTGTTTTTGTGGCTAATTTGATGTACATATCTTAAAATATCATCTTTACCTTTACTTTCTTTTTCAGATTTTTCAGTTTTCTTCTTCCCTGGGGGGAAAACAACAAGAAATAATCATTTTAAAAAACATGGCTTTCTTACTAATTCTTGGAGTAAACAGTTGGAGATGAGACTTAATCCTAGAGTGGTGGGAGTCATGACTCTCCCACTTCATTTTTTATTATGCTTGGTCATTCTGCTTATGTAGTCACCTATCGGGTCATAATTTCTCCTCCTCCTCCTGCTCCTCTGCTTCCTCCTCCAAGTCCTTTATTCCTCTGCCTCTTACTTCTTTTTGTCCTCCTCCCCTTCCTCTTCTTGTTTTTTTGAGACTGAGTCTTTCTATATGCCCTCAAACTCCTGGGCTGAAGGAATCCTTCCTCCTCACCCTCCTGAGTAGTTTGGTTACTTACAGGCATGACCCTCTTTTCTACCTCCTCCCTTTTCCTTTCATGCTTTGAAGAGAAGCTAGAATAAGCCATGCCTTTGTTAATTGGCTTAAACTAGAAACACAGGACAAACAACTACGTGTTAAATTTTTATATTTGGGAAATAAGAATTTGCCTGGCATGATGAAAACTCAATGAGTAAACTAATGAATAAAAGCAATAAAAAGTTACACAATATTTCTAAGCAAAATGTGGATCCAGTTTTCAAAGCAGTCTTGGTAAATTGATAATTTTATTGCTATGCTTTTTAGACAAATGTGGGAAGAAAAACAATATTTAATAGTGGCTTACAAGTTTGTATGTAATAAAAGTGCATATGTTACATCATTTAGTCCTTCTAACAAGCCTTTTGGGACATCATTATGCCTGTTCTGCAGTTCAGAATATCTGGAATTTGAGCAACTAAGGGATTTTCTAAATGTTATACAGCTAGAGACTTAAATTTACATACTGTTTCCACCACTCTATCTTATCTCCTCTGAAAATGTAAACATTTACCTGATTCTGTGACTTCTGATGTTTCTTCTTTAGAAAAAAAAGAATGTAAAAAAAAAGAAAAAATGAATAAGAAAAAGTATAGTTTTTTATTCAATAGCAGACAATTGAAACTTATCTTCTGACATTTCATTCTAAATTACAATAGGCACATATCTCAAAATGGCAAAGAAATGTACTCCTGATTAATATTTCTGATAACTGTAATTAGGCATCTATTTTGAAAATAAGACAAATTTTCAATAAATCTAAAACAGCCTGTTTAAATATGATAGAAGTTGTTAGATAGAATAAATAAGATCTAATACTTGATAGAACAGGATGATTACAGTCAACAATAATAATTTGGCGTACATTTTAAAATAACTAAAATAGTAGAATGTTTACACAAAAATATGATAAATGCTGATGTGATGGATACCCCATTTACCTTGATTTGATTATTATGCATTTTATGACTATATCAAAATATCTCATGTACCCGTAAATATATACAACTACTATGTACTCACACAGTTAAAAATAAAATAAAATGAAAAGTAAAAAATTAAAAAACATACGTGGTTTAATTAATCAACTCTAAATTCTTTGGTTGATTTTCCTAATTACAAATTATAAATCTGTTACACAAATTTTTAATCTTCATGGATACATGCAACCATTAATTCATAGAATGCTTATTAAAGCATCTTCATTTATAAGATGCTGTCAGAAATGCAATTGAGTGGGGTGGTGGGGTGAGATAATAAAAACAAACTCAACTCATGGTGACTACAGTGTGATAAGTGTTAGAAGACATAAAATTATATTTGCTTTTTGCCTATGATAATTCAGAACCATGCTTTCTTCTTAATCCTTCAGTAAATTTACAGATTAGCATTTTTATGTATAACCTGGCAAGTTTTTATCAACTTTCTGTCACAAATAATTTCAAACAATAACATTTCCAGAAAATAAAAATTATCTGAAAGATTAAGAAATATCTCTCATAAAATATCAATGTTTTCTATAAATATGATATCAGTTTTATCAGTCTTACATAACTATTTTAGGGAGCTATTTTCAAAATTCATAAAAAGGAATTAAAGCATTTTATAACGATGATGGTATACAATGAATAATGTTTCATAAAAATACAGTATGGCTTTATGGTGATGTTTCATATTAGCACTCTAGTTTTGAATTTTAACCCTTAATTTTGGTAAGAGTGTTCATATTAGCAGCAATAACACAAACTTTGCTAGAGAATTTCTCCAGCCTAAAAGCTGTACTTAATGTTTAAAATTGGCATTTAATCCATTAAGAAGTAAATTGTAGCTGCATTATTAAGGAATCTGTCATATGCTGTTAAGAAAACAGGTTAGTTCTGGGTATTAAAACATATAAATAAAACATCCAGATACACTTTGGATTGAAATGTTCAAATTTTAATTCAGGATACGGTCTGCATACTTTAATAGTATAAAATAAATAGCTTCATTGTTCACTGTTGCATCTTTATAATTGTTTAAAATGTTCAGAAAACCCTAGTGATTTTGAATTACAAAATAAAATGTACCTCAGGGCTTTAAAAAATTAGAAAATAAAAAGCTAATGTGTTAAAATTAAATAAATTGAGAACATATATTATGTACTCTTTTTTCTCAACCCACATAATAACTGTTAGAGGGGTCTTCATACTGTGTTGATTCAACACATCTGAACAAAAAATTGAAAGTAGATAAGAGAGAGATACAATTACTTTTTTTTTGCATGAGTATTAGTTATCATGGTTAATGTGTTAGCAAAACAGGTATCTCAACAGAAAACATGATATACATTCCCTCATATATCCTGGTTCAGTGTCATATTTCTAATAGCTGCTCAATAAATACATGTTCAAGGATTAATGAGTATAATACAAGCATACTCATTTTATAGTGCGTCACTTAATTGCGCTTCTCAGGTATCAACGTTTTTTATAAGTTGAAAGTTTGTGGCAATCCCGTATAATTAAGTCTATTGGTGTAATTTTTCCAGCTGCATTTGCTTCCTTCACATTTCCCTGTCTCATTTTGGTAATTCTCACAATATTTCAAATTTTTCATTACTATTATATCTGTTATGGCAATCTATGATCAGTGATCTTTGATGTTACTATCATAATTGTTTTGGGTGCATCAAACCACACCTATATAAGGTGGTAAACTTAATGAAAGTGTGTATTGGGACTTCCATTCACCAGTTCTCTCTCTCTTTCCTTTAGGCCTTTCTGTTTCCTGAGAACTCAATAGTTTTGAAATTAGGCCAGTTAATAACCCTACAATGGCCTCAAAGTATTCACAAGAAAGAAAGACTTGCACATTGCTCACCTTAAATCAGAAATTAGAAATAATTAAGTTTTGTGAGAAAGGCATGTTGAAAGCTAGAACAGGCTGAAAGCTAGGCCTCTTGTACCAGAGTTAGCCAAAGTTTGAATGCAAAGGGAAAGTTCTTGAAGGAAAGTCAAAGTGTTACTCCAGTGAACACATAAATGTTAAGAAAGGGAAACAGCCTTATTGCTGAGACAAAGAAAGTTTTAGTGGGCTGAATAGAAAACCAAGGCAGCTATAACATTCCCTTAAGCCAAAATTCAATCTATAGCAAGGCCCTAACTGTCTTCAAATCTGTGAAGGATGAGAGAAGTGAGGAAGCTGCAGAAGAAAAGTTGGAAGCTAGCAGGGTTGGTTCGTGAAATGTAAGGAAAGAAGCCACCTGCATAACATAAAATTTCAAGGTGAAGCAGCAAATACTGATAATAGAAGCTGCAGAAAGTTAACCTGATCTAGTTAAGATAATTGACCAACATGGCTACAATAAACAATAAACTTTCAGTGTAGACAAAATAGCCTTCTAGGGAGGTTCACTTGAGCCAAGGAGTTTGAGGCTGTAGTGAGGTATGATCCCCCCACTGGACTCCAGCCTGGTGACAGAGTAAGACCCTGTATTTAAAACAACAACAACAACTTAATAAATAGTTTTCTATTGAAAGAAGATCTCATCTAGAACTTTCATAGCTAGAGAGAAAAGTCAATATCTGGCTTCAAACCTTCAAAAGACAGGCTGATTCTCTCGTTGGAGGCTAATGAAGCTGGTGACTTGAAGTTGAAGCCAAAGCTTCTTTATCATTCTGAAAATTTTAGGTCGCTTAATAATTACGCTAAATCCACTCTGCCTGTGCTCTATCACAGGAATAACAAAATCTAGATGACAGCACAACTGTTTACAGCATGATTTACTACTGACTGTTTTAAGCCCACTGTTGAGACCTACTGCTAAGAAAGAAGATTCCTTTCAAAATATTATAGCTCACTGGCAATGCACCTGGTCACTCAAGAGCTCTAATGGAGATATACAAGGAGTTTAATATTGTTTTCAAGGCTGTGAACACAAGATCCATTCTGTAGCCTATGGGACCAAGGAGAAATTTTGACATTCAAGTCTTATTATTTAATAAATACAATTTGTAAGGCTATAGGTATCATATATAGTGACCCAGCTGATGAATCTGTGCAAAGTAAGTTGAAAGTCTTCTGGAAAAGAATCACCTTTCCAGATGCCATTAAGAACATTTGTGACTCATGAGGGAGTCCAAATGTCAGTATCAACAGGAGTTTGAAAGAAATTGATTCCAACTCTTATGAGTGACTTTGAGGATTCAGTAGAAGTAACTGCAGATGTGTTGGGAGTAACAAAAGAATTAGAAAAGGAAGTGGTGACCTAATTGCTTTAATACGTGAACAAACTTGAACAGATGAGGAGTTATTTCTCAAGGATGAGAAAAGAAAAGGGACACTTGATATGGAATCTATTCCTGGTGAAGATGTTGCAAACATTGCTGAAATGACAACAGAGGATTTAGAATATTCCATAAACTTAGTTGATAAAGCAGAAGTCAAGTGTGAGATGTTTACTCTAATTTTGAAAGCAATTCTACTGTGAGTAAAATGCTGTAAAATAGCTACAGGCACTATAAAGAAATCTGTTGTTAAAGAGTCAGTGTGCCAAATTTTATTAAGTCTTATTTTGAGAAATTACCACAGCTACCCTAACCTTCAGAAACTACCACCTTCATCAATTAGCACCCATCAACATCGAGAGAAGGCCTTTCAGCAGCAAAAGTATTGCAACTTGCTGAAGATTCAGATGATGAAGGTTAAAATAAAAGTATTTTAACAGCAAAATACTTTTAAATTAAGCTATGTACATTTTTTACACATAATCTTCTTGCACACTTAATAGACTACAGTATAGTATAAACGTAATTTGATGTGCACTAGGAAAATAAAAAATTGCGTGACTTAGTTTAAATTCACTTTATTGTGGTGGTCTGAATGAAACCTAAAACATCTCGAGGTATGCCAGTACAATGACATTTAATTTTCCTTGAATTGCATTTTTTGAATCACTAAATATCTCTTCATGTGCTTATTGGTCTATGGCTTCTTGATGTACCCATTTTCCTTTGGTTGTGCTTTTTGTCTCCAGGGTATGCTTGTACACACAATATCCTGTGTCAACCAGACTCACTTATATGGTAATAGTATGATGGCTATTACATTAACAAACATACCATACGTTTTTAACTTCATTTATAACTCAAAGAAATGATGAAATCAAAACAATGAAATAGGGCATTCTTAAAATTCTAAAATGGTACACTTACTTGGAGCTGGCTTTGGTTTGTCTTAAAAGAAAAAAAAAAGAAAATGAGTGATAATTTTCTGTCTATGGATAATATATCAGCTCTTTACATTTCCTATTTTTGCTTTTTACAGTAAAAATAAGAATAAGCCTAAACTTATATCTACAATGAACAGTAGGGAGTGTATTTTTAATAATTTTCAAGTCATACTCTCAATGAGTTTCCTACAGAACAGTAAATCCTGAAACTATGGAATCTTTTTTAGTCTCTTCTTCATTTCTGTAAAACTTCATGTTTGATTTCATACAATATTAATGAATACTCACAATAATCTGAACTTCTTACTGTTTCTGAAATGGCATAAAATACATATTCTGTCACTGTCCTTTTAGAATACATATTAATATTAGCTCAGACTAAGAATTTACATTCTCCCAATCCAGTATGTTGAACAAGATTAATTTATAAAATCTCAGAAATTAAGGGGTGGTAGGTTAAAAAAAATCATAAAGACATTCTATTTTTTTCCAGTATAGCATGTCTTCTAAAATTTGTTAACTAAAAACATTAACTGTGTCATCTTACATCTAAAGTTCTATTCCTTCATAAAAAGTAGACAAGATTTAGCTATGATTGCAGAAGGTTTGAATCATCTAAAATTAAGTCAAATAATGAGCATGTTAACAGAGGGAATGCAACTTGATACTTTTTTTGTAGAGAGCAATTAGGAATATCTATTCAAACTATATTTAATATACCCTCTTACAAAAAAAAATCTACTTTAAAGATTTTTTCCCATAAAATTAATAAAACTAGACATATTGTTAATTAATTTGTGAAATTAACAAAACTAGATAGGTATATATTAGTATACATTTTTAAAGGAGACTTTTAAAACAACGTTAACATACATCAATTAGAGTCTAATTAAGTTAACTGTGTACAAACATACAATAAAACACTATTTTTAGGAAATATTTTATGTACTGATATGTAAAAAAGCTTCAAGATATATTCTGAAATAGAAAAACCTAGTGACAGTATAATTTATAGCATGTTAATATTTGTGTAAGAAAAACAAAAGTGGCGTGTGTGTGTGTGTGTGTGTGTGTGTGTATATATATATATTTGTACAGGTAGAAAGATAATGATAGAAGGATACATTAAGAAGTAACTGAGAAAGGGAAGATGGCCAAATAGGAACAGATCTGGAGTGCAGTTCGCAGTGAGAAGAATGCAGAGGGTGAGTGATCACTGCATTTTCACAAGAGTTTTTACTGCCCACAGACAAGGATATTCCTGGGCTGAAAGGTGCCACAAGTTTCCAGCATGGCTGTTTTAGCTGGCACTGTGGGTCTCCACACAAAAACTCGCACAAACCCAGGTGGCTGTTTCAACAGGCACCCAGAATGCCTGGGATACAGAGCCTCCCATTCAACTAAAAAAAAAAGGTAACTGAAACAGGGAGCCAGGTGATCTGATTCAGCAGGTCCCACCCACAACAAAGACCAGCAATCTGAAAAATGCTCTAGATTGGGAGTTTCACAGCAAGTGCAGGTGGACCCAGGAATGTCCAGCTCAGTAGGGGGAAGGACATCCACCATTACGGAGGCACTCTGCCACTACCAAGGCAGTCTGCCCTTACCTAGGCAGTTCTAACAGGAAGTTCACATTGCAGCTGGGCAGAGCCCACAGTAGCTCAGTAATGCTCCTGCTGGCAGACTGTGGCTAGACTACCACCTTGCTGGACAGGACATCTCTGAAAAAAGGCAGCAGCATGTCAGGAACTTATAAATAAAGCCCCACATTCCCAGGACAGAGCACCTGGCGAAAAAGGCACTTATGAGTTCCACTGCAGCAGGCTTAAACATACCAGCCCAGAAGCTCTAATCGGAACAATGGAGCTCCCAGCTCAGCACTTGAGCACCTATAAGGGACAGACTGTCTTCTCAAGCAGTTCCCTGATCCCTGTATATCCAAAGAGGCACTTGTAAAGGAGAGCTAAGGCTGACATCTGGCAGGTACCCTTCTGGGACAAAGACAACAGAAGAAGAAACTGGCAGCAACCCTTACTGTTCTGCAGCCCCTGCGGGTGATCCCCAGGCAAGCAGGGACTGGAGTGGACCTCCAGCAGGCCTACAGCAGAGGGGCCTGACAGTTAAAAGGAAAACTAAAAAACAGAAACAACTTCAGCATCAACAAAATGGAAGTCTGCTAAGAGACTCCATCAGAAAGCCACCAGCTACAAAGACCACAGGTAGATAAATCCACAAAGATGGGAAGAAACCAGTGCAAAAAGGATGAAAACACCAAAAACAAGAATGCCTCTCCTCCTCCAAGGGATCATAATTCAACACCAGGAAGAGAACAAAGCTGGATAGAGAATGAGTCTGATGAATTGACAGAAAGAGGCTTTAGAAGGTGGGTAATAGTGAACTTTTCTGAGCTAAAAGAACATGTTCTAACCCAAAGCAAAGAAGCTAAGAACCTTGAAAAAAGGTTTGATGAAATGCTAATGAGAATAAACAGCTTAGAGAAGAATATAAATGACCTGATGGAGATGAAAAACACAACCAGAGAACTTTAGGAAGCATACACAAGTTTCAATAGCCAAATCAACCAAGAAGAAGAAAGGATACCAGAGGTTGAAGATCAACTCAATGAAATAAAATGAGAAGACAAGATTAGAGAAAGAAGAGCAAAGAGAAATGAAAAAAGCCACCAAGAAATATGGGATTATGTGAAAAGACCTAATCTACATTTGATAGGTGTACCTGAATGTGGTGGAGAGAATGAATCCAAGCTGGAAAACCCTCTTCAGTATATTATCCAGGAGAACTTCCCAACCTAGCAAGGAAGCCAACATTCGAGTCCAGGCAATACAGAGAACACCACAAATGTATTTCTCAAGAAGAGCAACCCCAAGGCACATAATTGTCAGATTCACCAGGGTTGAAATGAAGGAGAAAATGCTAAGGGCAGCCAGAGAGGAAGGTCGGGTTATCCACAAAGGAAAGCCCATCAAATCACAGTGGATCTCTTGGCAGAAACCCTACAAGCCAGAAGACAGTGGGGGCCAATAATCAACATCCTTAAAGAAAAGAACTTTCTAACCAGAATTTCATATCCAGTCAAACTACACTTCATAAGCAAAGGAGAAATAAAATCCTTTATAAACAAGAAATTGCTGAGAGATTTCATCACTACCAGGCCTGCTTTACAAGAGCTTCTGAATGAAGCACTAAACATAGAAAGGAACAACCAGCACCAGCCACTCCAAAAACATACCAAATGGTAAAGACCATCAACACAATGAAGAAACTGCATCAACTAACAGACAAAACAACCAGCTAGCATCAAAATGGCAGGATCAAATTCACACATAACAATGTTAACCTTAAATGTAAATGGGCTAAATGCCCCAATCAAAAGACACAGACTAGCAAACTGGATAAAAAGTTAAGACCCATCGGTGTGGTGTATTCAGAAAACCCATCTCACATGCAAGGATTCACAGGCTCAAAATAAAGGGATGGAGGAAGATTTACCAAGCAAATGGAGATGGAAAAAAAAAGCAGGAGTTGCAATCCTAGTCTCTGATAAAATAGACTTTAAACCAACAAAGATTGAAAGAGACAAAGAAGGGCATTACATAATGGTAAAAGGGTCAATGCAACAAGAAGAGCTAACAATCCTAAATATATATGCACCCAATACAAGAACATCCAGATACATAAAGCAAGTTCTCAACTATCTAGAAAGAGACTTAGACTCCCACCCAATAATAGTGGGAGACTTTAACACTCTACTGTCAATATTAGACAGTTGAATGAGACAGAAAATTAACAAGGATATCCAGGACTTGAACTCAGGTCTCAACCCAGCAAACCTAATAGACATCTACAGAACTCTTTACCCCAAATCCACAGAATATACATACTTCTCAGCAACAAATCACACCTACTCTGACACTGACCACATAATTGGAAGTAAACCACTCCTCAGCAAATGCAAAAAAGTAGAAATCATAACAGTCTCTCAGACCACAGTGCAATCAAATTAGAACTCAGGATTAAGAAACCAACTCAGAACTGGACAACTTCGTGGAAACTGAACAACTGGCTTTTGAATGTTGACTGGATAAACAAAGAAATGAAGGAAGAGATAAAGATGTTCTTTGAAACCAACGAGAATGAATACACAATGTACCAGAATCTCTGGGACACATTTAAAGCAGTGTCTAGAGGGAAATATATAGGAATAAATGCCCGCATGAGAAGCAAGGAAAGATCTAAAATTGACAACCTATCATCAAAATTGAAACATCTGGAGAAGCAAGATTAATAAACACTCAAAAGCAAACAGAAGACAAGAAATAACTAAGATCAGAGCAGAACTGAAGGAGATAGAGACACAAAAACGCTTTGAAAAATCAATAAATCCAGGAGCTGCTTTTTCAAAATAATCAATGAAATAGGCCACTAGCCAGATTAATAAAAAAGAAAAGAGAGAAGAATCAAATAGATGCAATAAAAAATGATAAAGAGGATATCACCTCCGATTCTGCAGAAATACAAACTACCATCAGATATTACCACAAAGAACTCTATGCACATAAACCAGTAAACCTGGAAGAAATGGATAAATTCCTACACACTTGCACACTCCCAAGTCTAAACCAGGAGAAAGTAGATACCCTGAGTAGACCAATAACAAGGGCTGAAGTTGAGGCAGCAATTAATAGCCTACCAAGCAAAAAAAGCCCAGGTCCAGATGGGTTCACAGCCAAATTCTACCAGACATACAAAGAGGCATTGGTACCACAACTTCTGAAACTATTCTAAACAATCCAAAAAGGGAATCCTTGCCAAATCATTTTATGAGACCAACAGCATCCTGATACCAAAACCTGGCAGAGACTCAACAAAAAAAGAAAACTTCAGGCCAATATCCATGATGAACATGGATGCAAAAATCTTCAATAAAATACTGGCAAACCGATTGCAACAGCACATCAAAAAGCTTATCCATCACAATCAAGTAGGCTTCATTCCGGGGATGCAAGACGAGTTCAACATATGCAAGTCTATAAATGTAATCCACCACATAAACAGAACCAAAGACGAAAACCACATGATCATCTGAATAGATGCAGAGAAGGCATTCAACAAAATTAAACAGCCCTTTATGCTAAAAACTCTCAATAAACTAGGTATCAGTGGAACATAGCACAAAATAATAAAAGCTATTTACGACAAAGCCACTGCTGATACCATACCGAATGGGCAAAAACTGGGAGTATACCCTTTGAAATCTGGCACTAGACAAGGATGCCCTCTCTATTCAATATAGTATTGGAAGTTCTAGCCAGAGCAATCAGACAAGAAAAAGAAATAAAAGATATTCAATTAGGAAAGGAGGAAGTCAAATTGTCTCTATTAGCAGATGACATGATTGTATATTTAGAAGACCCCATCGTCTCAGCCCAAAATCTCCTGAAACTGATAAGCAACTTCAGCAAAGTCTCAGGATATGAAAATCAATGTGCTGAAATCACAAGCTTTCCTATACACCAATAACAGACTTAAAGAGAATCAAATCAAGAGTTAACTCCCATTCACAATTGCTACAAAGAGAATAAAGTACCTAGGAATACAACTAACAAAGGATGTAAAGGACCTCTTCAAGGAGAACTATGAACCACTGATCAAGGAAATAAGAGAGGACACAAGCAGACGGAAAAACATTCCATGCTCATGGCTAGGAAGAATCAGTATTGCGAAAATGGCCACACTGCCCAAAGTAATTTATATTCAATGCTATCCCCATCAAGCTACCTATGACCCTCTTCACAGAACTGGAAAAAACCACCTTAAACTTCATATGGAACCAAAAGAGAGCCCGCATAGCCAAGACAATCCTAAGCAAAAGGAACAAAGCTGGAGGCATCACGCTACCTGACTTCAAACTATACTACAAGGCTACAATAATCAAAACAGCTTGATACCAGTACCAAAACAGAGATATAGACCAATGGAACAGAACAGAGGTCTCGGAGGCAACACAACATATCTACAACCATCTGATCTTTGACAAACCTGACAAAAACAAGCAGTGGGGAAAGGATTCCCTGTTCAATAAATGGTGTTGGGAAAGCTGGCTAGCCATGTGCAGAAAGCAGAAACTGGACCCCTTCCTGACGCCTTACAGTAAAATTAACTCCAGATGGATTAAAGACTTAAACATAAGACCTAACACCATAAAAGCCCTAGAAGGAAACCTAGGCAAAACCATTCAGGACATAGGTATAGGCAAGGACTTCATGACTAAAACACGAAAAGCAATGGCAACAAAAGCCAAAATAGACAAATGGTACCTAATTAAACTCCAGAGCTTCTGTACAGCAAAAGAAACAATCATTAGAGTGAACTGGCAACCAACAGAATGGGAAAACATTTTTGCAATCTACCCATTTTAAAAAGGGCTAATATCCAGAATCTACAAAGAACTAAAACAGATCTACAAGAAAAAAACAAACGAGCCCATTTAAAAGTGGGTGAAAGATACGAACAGACGCTTTTCAAAAGAAGATATTTATGAGGTCAACAAACATATGAATAAATGCTCATCATCACTGGTCATTAGAGAAATGCAAATCAAAACCACATTGAGATACAATCTCATGCCAGTTAGAATGGCAATCATTAAAAAATCTGGAGACAACAGATGCTAGAGAGGATGTGGAGAAATAGGAACACTTTTACACTGTTGGTGGGAGTGTAAGTTAATTCACCCATTGTGGAAGACAGTGTGGCGATTCTTCAAGGACCTAGAAATGGAAATTCCATCTGACCCAGCAATCCCATTACTGGTTATATATCCAAAGGATTGTAAATCGTTCTAATATGAAGACACATGAACACGTATGTTCATTGCAGCACTGTTTACAATAGCAAAGACCTGGAACCAACCCAAATGCCCATCAATGATAGACTGGACAAGGAAAATGTGATATATATTCACCATGGAATGCTCTGCAGCCATAAAAAACGATGAGTTGGTGTCCTTTGTAGGGTCATGGATGAATCTGGAAACTATCATTCTCAGCAAACTGACACAAGAACAGAAAATCAAACACCACATGTTCTCACTCATAGACAGGTGATGAACAATGAGAACACATGGACACAGCGAGGGGAGCATCACGCTCTGGGGTCTGTTGGGGAGAACTAGGGGAGGGACAGTGTGGGTAGGGAGGTTGGGGAGGGATAACATGCGGAGAAATGCCAGATATAGGTTACAGGGGGATGGAGGCAGCAAACCACATTGCCTTGTATGTACCTATGCAACAATTCTGCATGATCTGCACATGTACCTCAGAATCTAAAGTACAATTATATATATATATATATAATTTAACTATGGCTAAATATAAATACCTATGTATGGATATTAAATATATAAATAAATACCTAAGGATATTATCAGATATTTTTTGCAATAAGAACTGGTAGAATTTAATAAAAAAGAGAGAGATTTTTGCAGTTAGCTTCATATATGCTTCAGTTTTTGAACCATGTGAAGTATTACATACTGTAAAAATTGAATGACATTTTAAAAGAATTAAGCTAACTTTTAAAATGGGATAACTTCTCTTTTAAGAAGATATTTCAAGCAGAATTCACAATTTGTGAAAATTAATCTGTATAATTTGATAGGATATTTTAAAACTATCAACAGTGGATCAACTTCATCAGTATGATAAATTATAGTGACAACAGTGAAATACCAAATATTTTGTAAGGACCTTGTAAATCATACAAGCAAATCTAATTTGTTGATTTTGCTGTATCATAATTGTACATGTTTGGCAGTCCATGTTTGATTGATAAAAATATAACCCTTAGGTCAGATAAAACTGGATTATATTACAAACCACAAGATGACACATTACTAGGAAACATAGTGAAAATCACTTGTAGACATTAATTTTATAATATAATAAAAATGCTGAATTCAGATAAATATAAACCAAAAATGGTAAAATACCTGTTTTTGTAAGTGGAGGTTCTTTTTCTTGATGTTCAGCTTTTTCTAGAGAAAGATATCAAAATTCACTGGCAATCTGTGGATTCTTTGTTTGGCAAACATTTCTTATTTACATATTTGCGAGTGATCCTCAGTATACCCAAGAGGTATGCTCCAAAAGTTATTTTCATGTAATTTGAAACAATGAAAACATATTGCCATAAAAACACATTATAAACAAAGTTAGGTTCATTCTCAAGGCACCCAGGAGAAGGCTTTTCTCTACATGTGGCTAAAAGACAGTATTAGGGTTTTATCCCTTTTGGAGCTGGGTTGTATAAGAGGATAGAACATGGCAAAGACAAGGATAAGAATATTGTTTTATGTATTTGCTGAAAGTTGATTCATCTTTTGGGGACATTTTATAGTGGATGGTAGTTGTCTTTGGCATTTTACCAACTCCTCTTTTTACCTCTCTGAATCCTAGTTACCTTCTTGCTAGTCAGAAACAATGCACTGCTGAACACTAGTTTCTTATTGAAGATTCAAACTATATCTGTTGTATTCCAGAGTACCACATTTTGTATTTTTATTGACCTGTACCACCCTCCTTTTTCAAGTTTTGTTAAAATTCTCTTAGCTGAATCTCAACTACTCTAGGACATGACAAAATGAAATAAAAATGTGTGAGTAATCAACATCCCTCTTAGTTCTCTGAAAAATATTTGGATTAAAATTTTTAAGAGATCATTCTCGTTCATCAAAAGTGGAATTTAAAGTCAACCATGTAGGTGGGATATCTTCAATGAGATTGAGAATATCTGTAAAATGAATAAGATCCAGGAACAGACCAAGTGTTACTTCTAATGACCTCTAGGGTCAGTTCCTCTGAGCTGTTCTTGTTATTTACTTGTCCTATCTTTCCTTCATTTCTGAATTTGGAGTTTCTCTAAAGTTACTATTTTTTCTTCAAATCATGCACCAACAGTGAAGTAGGTGGGAAGATGTGGGACTCCAGGTGTCATCAGACTAAACTGATATTTGTAAATTAGGAATTGATAGCATTCAAGAATAAAGTTCCATGAACTGAATTTGCATAAATGTTATAGTAAATAAGCATTTAAAATAAAAGAAAATGAAGAAGCCAATATTCACTGTATTAATGTTATAACAGCATTAATAATAAATCAAGGTAACAATAATAATATAACATATATATTCAAAATACAATTCACAGGTTCTAAAATGTGAGTATGTTCTAATTAGAGCCATGCATTTGTGCTATATATCCTAAACCACTTATATGTATTCCTAAGTTACGTCACATGTTCACCTTTGGACCATGTGGAGCAATTTTACATACAAGAGCCAGAATATATCTGACCAATAGCCACTCATGCATTTGTCTAAGCTTGTGTTTCACAAATGTACATCATTCAAGGACCAACATCACAATTTTGACACAATGTTGAACATATTTACCACCATAGTGGGTAAATATTTATGCTTTCCTAAGTCCAAAAGTCACCGTTAAACTCTCTATTACTATACTCTCTGTGCCACACCTGTACAGTGAAATACAGGATCTTCAAAGTCCACATTCATGAGGACATTTCATAATTATAATAGACAAATGGCAAAATATTGATAATAAAATAGATTTTTAACTGCTAAGGTTTACCTATGGTTTAATTAACATAGCTTAAAGCAAGCAAATTAGAAACAGTCTATGGTTCATAACACTGACAATTTTATATCATTTCTTTTTTTTGTTATTCATTATATATATTTGAAAGATTTCCCACATACCTTAACTTATTGTGAGTGGAATTTTATAGCCTATATGGACTCCCTCTTTTGATATTAACAATAGCGTCAAACTTCTAGATATTTCTTTTGTATAATTATAATGAGTCACTAATTAGTAGTGAAAGTCAAGAATATTAAACCATAGCAATAACATCAATTTATCACTAATAACAGTTATATAGCAATAACATTAATTTATTATTAATCTAGCCACAGGCAACACTAAAAATAATGACTTTAAAAAACCAAGCAAATTGTTAGAGCTGAAATGGTCAAGCAATATTTCTCAGGTGTTATTCTTTTCATCTCTTACTTGCTGGCTTGGGTTTGTCTGTGTAGAATGGAGGGAAACACATGGCATATTGATGAGCACAAATCACAGAAAAAATAACTCTTTAGCATTTGTATTTGCTTATTCTTAGTTTTAGCTTCTCTCCTTAGCTTGAGCTTAACCTATTTTCTTTGAGCACTAATATTTCACTGTCAGCAAATACATTAATCAAATTGCAAAATGCTAGTAAGATACATGCAATGCACATGAAATTTAAAACAATCTATATATCTGAGAAACAAGTACACTGAGTCTAGCTTCTTCATAATTTCCAAACATCCATACAACAGAATAAGACACTCAGGTGGCTATATTAATACCTTAGGGTGAAAATTAAAGGAACATTTACTAAAAGTATAAACTTAGGCAGTAGTTGGAGTAAAGTACAATGGTCATATGAAGTAATGAAAACAGCCTCATGAAATTTCTTTCTTTCTACTGATATACTAGTCTATGATTTCTATAAATAATTAGATCACTCCTGAATTCTATTATGTTTTTCCTCCAAGAAACTATTTAAATCCTTATTATCTGATTATCTCAGAAGAAAAAATGTTTCATAGAGTTTTTCTTTTGGAATGATTATTAGTAAGAGATGGGATTCTCTTAATGGCTGAGGTGTATAGGATTTCTATCTTAGAATTTCTATTGTAAGAAAATTTTGATTCTAGAGGAAGTTTAGTGATTCAGACATGAATTGAGTTGAAGACTCAGAAGTTTTCTTTTTCCTTACAGGAAAATCTCCTGAATTGCAAGAGTATGCGTCCTTTCTTTCTCATAATGAGAGATAGAGTGTTTTTAGTTTAATGTTGCATTCTGTTGATCATTCTTTAAGGCAGATTTTAAAGTTATGTAACCATATCCTTCTCTATGGAGCTCTCATGAAAGTAAATTATTCCAGCTAATTTATAAATAGCAGAAAGTTTCAGACTTCGGTGATTTTAAGATTTGAGGAAGTGTGCTTTAAAAATAAGATTAAACACCTAAGTATACATGGTAATCAATGCATTATATGGATTTTCTCATGAATTACACATAAGCTTAGGTCAATCACTCTTAAAGTTATGCTATTTTAGTTATTATTATTTAATAAAAAATATATTGAGTATATCTTTAGTTATTCACAAGAATTCGAAATCTTAGAAGTTATGGTATTAAAAGTCTACACACTTCCTTGAAGATGTCCGTGTGTGTGTGCATGAACACACATGGACACCACATAATATATACTGAGACATAGAAAAAATACATAAAATATTATTTACCTGTTTTTTCTATTGGGACAGCTTTTACCTGCTTGAGAACTTTTTCTTCTGTGATAGGAAAAACGTTAACACAAGTAGAAATTTTGAATACATCAGTGACATATTTCAACCATGGTATTTTGTATTCTTTTTGAAAAAGTGCCAATGCCAAGAAAAACTTGTTTCCTCAATAAAACAGCAAATAATATCTTCTATTCAAATTGGATCAAAGCACAAAGAAAATCTGTCCAGCTGAAACGTCCTTTGCAGCTATCTTGCTAAGAAGTTTTCCTAACTTAAAATGTTCCCTAACGTGCCAATATAAACCCTACTTTGCATTCACTGTATTTCACTGTATTTATCTGCCCAGAGGTACTGCTTTATAAAATATATTTTCCTTTTTTATTATTAAATTAGAATAGGAAGAAGTAATTTTTGACCTTCTTGTGTCAATGCCTCCCTGGGAACCCAGGAATAGCTAGAGAACCCAAATTTCTCACAGTGTGAAGCTGGGGAAGAACAAAGGTGATACATTTGTGAGATGTCCTCTGTTCTCAAGTGATTTTTCATAGACAAAGATGTTTGGGTCAAAGTAAAGAGGTTATTGCCATGATCCTACATGAAATTAAATTTCTCGAGTACTTCACACTGCGTAAGAATCAACTGATCAAATATCCTAGGTAGAAAGTTTCACTGGATAACAGAAAATTTAAAGAGCATGATGGTGTAAATGAAGTGAAAGATAGTTGTTCCTACAAGACAATGCATTTGATGTACATTCAGAGACTAAAGCCTGTCACTTCTCTTTATTTCACCTCAAAATGGCTAATACTTGGGACATAAGAAAATAACAGTGTTTCATTTAATTAGAAGGTTCTAAAAGTTGTTTCTAAGGTTCTGCTTTTGTCAATACCGACAGCTCTTCTTACCTCTCCTCATTCCAGCCCTGCTTTCTTTATTCCTATATTTTCTGTTGTTGGTGTCTCATATTTTTTTAAGAAGCATAGGCAAAACAAATCAAAGAGACTAAAACCCATTGTATACAGATTTTCTAAAGTACAATTTATAAAAGTAAACAAAAGATTTCCTAAGATTTGTTTAGAGAAAGTATGTTTTTCCCTTTTCAAAGATTCTGGCCTAACTATAGTCACAACATTGGGTACATAATTCCTCCTGGAATGAAGAATAATAGTTTACAGAATAATTGAGGAATGGGTAGCCTCAAAACTAAATTCATATTTAATTAGCTGAAATACAAACTCGTTTTTATTCTTAAATAAAAATTAATTCATAACCTTGTTTTGATAAATTATGTACTTTTTTTTTAAGGCAGAACACATTAGCTCACTTTTACTTTCCACAAAATGCAAGACCAGGAATAAAAAGAAAAGAAGAAAGGGAAGGAACGGTGAAGAAAAGAAAGAGGCAGGAACAGAAGCAGGGAGAAATGTTGATTTCTTCAGCATTTTTGGGGTTTGGAGAGTCTGAAATGATTGTATTTGAATAAGTCAATCAATTACAAGTTTGGTCAGAATGCCTTGCCCAAATCAGAATAAAACAGAAAGTATAGAGCCCATTCATCTAAGTGCTGGGTGATTATTTTTGTGTAAAGCTAACTCTCTGATGGGAAGTGAAGACTAGCTGTTTAGTTACATCTTACTGGTTCAGTTCTCAGTATAAAAAAATAGTCTGAAGATGACTAAAATTAGAGATGGCCTAGAATCTGATGACTTAAGACCTGAATTGTCCCAAATAACTTTAGATTTGACTCTAAACTTTTCCTTCTGCTAAAATTAGAACATTGAGAGACAATTTGATACTACAAATACCACCTGCAAAATACCTGGTTTACCATGAGAAACAGTCTTTTCTGGTTTCACTATGTCTTGTTCTGAAAATAATAAAACAAAAATCTTTTTAGGTATTTAGAAGCTGGGAAAATAACTGGCAGATTTTAGCAAATGTGCCCAGAAGAAAGAATATTCTGAAACCTTCATAGCATCCTTGTTTCTATGTAAAACTTAAAGATTTTAGCTCATGAAAACAATATGACAAAAAATTCTTATTTACAAAATTTTCAAAACTATAATTTTCAAAGCATAGGCTGTAATAAAGCATAAATATAAAAGCACAGATTGAAAATATGTGATTTTGAAAACGTTTCAAAATTTTCTTGTAAAAAACTCTATATAAGCATAAAAAATGAAATTAATATACATACTGTGTATTTGCAATTTTTCAGATACAGCTAAAAAGAATAAATAAATAACATATTAGATTAAATTACTTGCAGAATGAAGTATTTAACAATAACCAATATAATTTGTTATTGTCACTAGAACTAGGCATTATTAGCTTTAAATGGTGTTGGGCTTCTGGTTAAAGAGTGTAAAACTGGCAAAAATATAAAATGCTTCTATCTGGTAAAACATATTCACCTATAGCAAATAAATATCAGGAAAATAAATGATAAAATCATAATAATATTTGTAATGTAACAAGGCTGTTATAAGCCTTGATATATTGTAAGTTTATCACAAGCACAACTATATTCAAACTTATGATCGGTTGCCCAGTAAGTTCTGGTGAGAATTCAGGGGCTGAGGTAGTATTGCATATGTGTCTAGATTTCCATTCTTGATTTATAGACATTGAAGAATCTTGCTAAGTAATCTTTTATAATGAAGAAATAGCTACCATAGAGCCTGAGGGTTTTTTGGAACTTGCCTCAGGTCAATAGCTAGTTGGTATCAGCGCTAGGGCTTAAACACTAAATAACAATGTAAACTTGAAAAGGGCACCTTTTTTTTAGGTCAGTGCTACCTTCCAATAAAATAATAGCATTTTAGGGACAATCTCTTAATGGGAGGACCCCGGGTTTGGTGCAAATCAGACATGGGGCAGACCCCTAGCTCCAACATTTATTAACTTAAAAATCTTGGAAGAATAACTTATTTTCTGAACTTGATCTATTGAACTCCTTCTTCAGATATTAAGTATAGATAATAATTGCCATGCTGTTTGTTTCTCATAATGATATGATGAAAGTAAAAATCCTATGCTAGTCCTTAGCTCACAGTAAATGCATAATAAATTTTTGCTTTCTTTTTCTTCTAACCACAATAGTCTATAACCTTATGATTTTATAATTCTCATATGTTACTGGAAATACATCAGAATAATCAAAACAAAGCCACCAGAATTACAGAAATAAAGCCGTAAGTTAAACATGATTATGAATAATTTCATAAAAACCTAAGAAATATCTCCAGAAACCTGAAATCTCTATTGAGATTTATTTAAGGCCATTTTCTAGATGTTTTGTCTAGGGAATATTCCCATTCTCGCCTAATCCAGTACTATAAAACCGTGTTGAGCAATAGAGTGGACAAAATAATGAGGAACTGGGAGACTCTGTGCATGCCCCCCTAGTGAGATGTAAGCCTCTTTTAATACTTAATAAAATAAAGGTAATGTCAGCCCTGAATCTATATAAAATAAAGTTCATGTTTCCTGGTTTTGTTTCTTTTTTAACTTGAGGTTCTGAGGGAAAGAAAAGGGAGAAAATTTAAAACCTGAAAAAATGAACTAGAATACAAATTAATTTTTAGAAATAATTTTATTTTGCTATCATAATTGGGAGGCTGAGGCAGGAGAATTGCTTGAACCCAGGAGGTGGCAGTTTCGGTGAGCCAAGATCACACCACTGCACTCCAGCTTGGGTGACGGACCGAGATACAGCCTCAAAAAACAAACAAACAAAAAAATCGACTAAAGTTTATTCCAGTTTTATGCTTGTTTGTCAATGATGGACTATTAAACACAAAACAGAAACATGCTTTGCACTTGTCTGTCAAGCTGTTGCTACAGCTAATTCTTTTAAATCTAATTTTTCTACTTTTTTCCAAGATGATTATTGCAGGAAATAGTTCCAAAGTCAATATGATATAAATTATTTTAACACGAGTTGGAAGAAACTCTCTGAAATAGGTCTAATTGGGTACTTATGTGATTTGGAAATTTAGATAAATAGTGTGATGGCTCAATTGTTTTCCCCCAAACAACCTGTTGAGTCCTAACCCCCAGTACCTCAGAGTATAAACTTATTTGGAAATAGGGTTGCTACCGATGTAATTAGTTAACGTAAGATGAGGTCATGCTAGAGAAGGGTGGGTTCTTTATCCAATATGACTATTGTCCTTATAAGAAGAGGAGAAAAGACACAAAGAGAGAAGATGATCATGCAATAATAGAAGCAGAGATCGAAGCCATACGTTCCTTCACTCCAAGGAACACTGAGGATTGCTAGGAAGCAACAGAAACTAGGAGAAGCAAAGAAGTACTCTCCTCTAGGGGTTTAAAAGGAAGTGCTGTTTTCTAACTTAAAAAATTGTGAGAGAGAAAAATTTCTATAGTTTTAAGCAACACAATTTGTGGTATTTTATTTTAGCCATCAGAGTAAACTAATCAATTTTGCTTTAGGAAAGTAGGTACTGCTGAAACAAATCCCTATGTATATGAAAGTGGTTTGAAATCGGGTAATGGGTAAAGGCTAGAAGAATTTTGAGGCACTTAATATAGAAAGCCTAAATTGCTTTGAAGAGACTATTGGCAGAGATATTGACATGAAAGTTTATTCTGATGAGGGCTCGGAAAGAATTCAAAAGAGATACAGAGAAAGCTCTTGTCATTTTAAATGATATATTTCTGACTTAGTCCATTTTGTACTGCTTTAATAGAATATCACAGATTGGATAATTTATATAGAGCAGGAATGTATTTCTCATACGTCCAGAGACTGTGAAGTTTAGGATTAAGGTATTAGCAGGTTTGGTCTCTTGTTTGAAGACGGTGACTTGCTGCTGTGTCTTCCAGAGAGAAGGAATGCTATGTCCTTATAGGGCAAAGGCAAAAGGGGAAGACAGCCAACTAGCTGAACACTGCATGAAGCCTCTTTTAGAACGGCCTTGTTCCCATTCATAAAGGAGGAATTTTCATGGCCTAATCACCTTTTAAAGGCTCCATCTCTTAATACTATTACATAGGTAACACCTAAATTTTCAGAAAACACATTCAAATCATAGAGATATATATTACTATAAGTAGAAGTAGAATGTTGCCAGAAATAGGAATTTTAAAAATGAGATCTCAGAAAGGAAATGAGGAACATATTATTGGCCACTGAAGGAAAGGTAATATTTGTTATAAAGTGACAAGAAACTTGGTTAAATTGTGTTCTTCTGTTAAGTGGAAGGTGGATGTAGTAAGCGAATAACTTAAAAATTTAGCTAAGAAAATTTTCAAGCAAAGTATGGAAGGTGCAGACTGATTTCTCCTTGTTGTTTATAATAAAATGTGAAAAGAAACATACACATAAATTGAAGAAGAAACTGTTAATCAAATTAGAACTGGCACTTACTGATTTGAAAAATTCTCAGCCTAGCTAGATAGTGTGCCATGGAGAGAGAGCCAAGGATGTGGTTGGACAAACTTTTGCTAAAGAGATTAGATGTATGATTCATGGAGCCACTTCAATAGAAAGCAGCAATAGAGATGTGGTTATCCAGGAAAGATATGTGGAGGACTCTCTTATCTAATGGCTTAGATGCCCCATGAATTGAATGTGGGACTAGTCAGGTTTTTAGATTTTTAAAAAAAGCAAAAACAATGCCAGCCTGGACAAAAAGGGACAGAGACATGATAAAATGAAGGAATAATGACTCCAAGAGAAGAGCCATGAATTCAAATGCCTGGATTGATGGGACTTCCTGTGGCAGAGAAGACAGGGCTGTCAGCTCACTGAGCTAAGAGGGCAGGGCCACTGTCCCACCAGGCACAGAGTACAGAGCACTGAGTCAGAGAGAATATTCTCAGGCTTTGAAATACACTAGGTTTTGGATTTACGTAGGACCCAGGACCCCTTTTTATTTTCTTGCAATTTCTTCCCTTTAGAATGGGAGTGTCCATCTTATACCTGTCTCCTCATTTTATTTTGGGAGTAAATAATTTGTTTCATATTTTCACAGGTTCACAGAGAAGACGAATTTTTCTGCAGGAAGAATCATACTCCAAGTTTCATATATAACTGATTTAGATAATGAGATTTGGAACTACTGATTGATATATAGATGAAATTTTGAACTTAGAACCATGCTTGAATGGTTAGGACTTTTAGAGATGTTGCAATGGGGTAAACATATTTTGCAACTATGGAGGACATGAATTTTGGGCCAGCCAGAGAGTGGACTGTAATGGATTTAACTGCATCTCTTCAAAAGGTATGTTTACATCCTAACCTTGAGTACCTTAAAATATGACCTATTTGTAAATTGGATTATTGCAGATGAAATTTGTTAAGATGTGTTCATAGGACAGTAGAGTGGGTACTTAATCCAATATGACTGGTGTACTTATGAGAGGAGAAGGGTTACAGAGATAGAGACACAAAGGGAGAAGGTTTCCATTTGATGATGGAGGCTGAGATTGAAAGTGATGCATCTACAAGCCAAGGAACACCGAAGTTTGCTAGAAAACACCACAAGATACAAGGAAAGATTCTTCTCAAAAAATTTCATGGAAAGCACGTCCCTTGTGACACCTTCATTTTGGACTTCTACCCTCCAGAAGTGTGAAAGGATAAATTTCTTTTGTTTTAAGCCACCCAGTTGGTGGTATTTTACTACAGTAGCCCTACAACAATAATACAATTATGAGACATTAAACAAAATTTTAACTGTGTTCAGAATCAAACAGTTGAAGTTCCTTTTTAAAAAGTTTCTTCTGCCTACTGTAGCCTTCAGAAATATTCATCTGACTCAGGAGCCTCAAAAGAGATTAGAATGAGAGCAGATGGTTTGCTGATTGAATGTCTATGTCCTACAATAATCAGAGAAAATTTTGGTTTTGTAGGAGTAAATTCAATTAATCAGTTACTTCTTCTGAACCATGTAAATTTCTCAGAGACTTCACCTACACAAATAGAATTTTTTTTTCTAGAAATGGGTAACATAGAGAAATGTATATTTTGTTAGTTTTATTTTTTTTTAAGTTGGTCAAGGATAAAATTTGATATAATATTTGTACTAGGACATGACATTTGCAAAGATATATTGTGCTATTATAAACATGAAAAGCATATATGTCTATAAATAAAATATACATACCTGGTTTCTCTTCTTTTTTTCCTTGTAGTTCTAAAAATATAGATGAATATTAGTAACAATGATTATAGAAATATATTCATCTCCTGTACTCCTGCATATTTATTTTTATATAATTATTTTCTATGTTATTCATTGGTTTTCAATCTCATAATAACTTTGAAAAGTTAATGTCATATTAACTTTCTTCTTATGATTGTGGCAAGTTAGTACATAAAAACCAAGATTCCCTGATATTAACCCCAATAAGAATTATTTTGAAGGCCAGGCATGGTGACTCATGTCTGTAATCTTAGCACTTCAGGAGGCCAGCCAGGTGTGTTGTCCATGGCTGTAATCCCAGCTACTCAGGAGGCTGAGGCACAAGAATCATTTGAACCTGGGAGGTGAAGGTTACAGTGAGCTGCGATTATGCCATTGCACTCCAGCCCAGGCAACAGAGTGAGACTACCCAAAAAAATTTTTTTGAGAAAAAAATGGAAATGTGAACTGAGATTTTTAATGACAAGGTAAGAAAAGATACTTCCAGTGAATAAAGGATGAAGGAAAATTTCGGCATAGCATTTTCTCAGAAACACATGTAAGAGAATGTCTACATTGTCTACACATAACAGTTAAGCCTTTGAATTTAAGCGAAATATTCAACATGAAATCAAGATAAATAACAGCATGCATTTAAGATTTGTTTTATGTATGTGTGTGGATATATACATATTTGTTTATATCAAATGCATATAACATACGTGGAGGTTTAGGCTTGACTTCTTTGCCTAGAAAAAATTAAAAAATTGTTAAAGGGTGAATCATACAATGCTTATTAAATCGACTTTATTAAATATGACAGAATATTATATATTTGAAAATAAAAATCAAATAATATAGGCCCCACCTATTCTTTTTTATTGAAATTCTATGGAATGTGGAACTTGTGGCTAAGTTCTTTAGTGCAAGATTGGCAAAGTTTTTCTGCAAAAGTCAGATAGTATATATTTCCAGGTTTTAGGCCATATGTTCTCATAATTCTTCAATTGTGTGACTATAGAAGTAGCCATTGACAATAATGTAAATCAATTTGAGTGGCTGTGTTCCAATAAAACTTTATAAAAACTAGTGGCCAGTCTGTGTGCTACTTTGTCAGCCTCTGTTCTATTCATAGTTTTCATTTTCCCTCTTTTTTGTATCAAGAAATATTTGAATAGTCAACAGTTTTCTATGATTCTATTTTCTTATAAATGCCATCTAGTACCTGTCTGTCAACTGTTAAACTCAACTTTTTAAGGAATATTATCTTTACCTGTTTTTTCTACTTCTCACTCCCATTTACTCACTAATTCATTATAATCTAGCTTCTAGCTCTACCATTCTATGTACTAACCTTCTCTGTTCACCAATTGCCCCCTACTTGCCGAGGCTAGTGAACACATTCGACCATACTGATCACTTTCCCTTTCTTTTTAAATGCCTATTCACTTGGCTTTTTGAAAGGGTAAACATAATATACTCTACTGTAATGGGATAAATATTAATACTGCCTTCTTTTATTTCAAAAATATCCTAGTGATCTTTTTCTTTTAGCAAAGATAACATAACAGGGGCCTAATTAGTCTTCATACTGAAACTAAGGAAAACAGACAAAATACGTAAAAGAATGGTTTTAAAGATATTGAACATCAGACAACAAAGAACAGTGATACTTGAGTGATGGGGAAACAGATGAGACATGCCCTGTGATTGCTTCCGCTTAGTGCTTGGAGAAAGTTACAAGGCCTTAGTGCAGCAGTGAGTTGCCCAACAACTCAGCCTAGGCAAATTGCTGAGTTTATAAGATGGGGCTGGCAGTCTGGAAAGGCCAAGACAGTTAGTGATCCCGGGTCAGGGTAAAGTGGAGTGGAGACCAGCAGAGAAGAGGAAGAGAGTTCTTGGGATGTGTGGAAGGTGCTTTAAGTCATCAAAGGATCACTGAACAGCGTATGCACATGAGGAAACTACTTAAGGCCAAAGAAAGAAAAAATGGAAAGAATTCTAAAGCTTTATAATAAATTTTGAAGTTCAATAGTGTCAATCTTCCAACGCCGTTCTTTGTCTTCAGTAGTGTGTTCACTATTCTGGGTCTTTTTCTAATTCCACATAAATTTTATATTCAGCCTTTCAGTACACACAAACTAATTTTCTGGGAATTTTCCATAATTGCATTGACTCTATAGATCAATTTGGGAAGAACTAACACCTTTGTAATTTTAAATCTTCCTATCCAAACATAGTGTCTTTCTATTTATCTAGATGTTCTTTGGCTGTTTTCATCATGAGAGTTTAGTCCCCTCACTATTTTCTTTCCTTTTTTTTTTTTTTTT